AGTTAACCTATACTTTGGATTTCATCAGAATCATTGACCACTTTACCAGACAGAAGGCAAGGAAATTACACTATTAACAATGAAAATCATACAGTAAACAATTGTGTGGCCTAATGATGATTTGTGTAAGAGGACTAATGAATGTTTATCCATAGTGGTGATTTTTTTTTCAGATTAACCATCACTTGAACTATTGCAAGCAATACCCTTTGGAAACGGCAAAAACGATTCACTATTGTATCTAAGTTCATTAACCACATATTTTCTAAATCAAAACCAATATTTAAACGTCGAAACCCGAAGAATTATTAGAAACCCAAAGGAACAAAAATTGTTTTAAAAAATCAAGTTAACGTCAGATGTTTTTCTGCATTCCTCATATTTTGTTCTCCATGGCTCAAAATCAGATGTGTGTATAAAAATAACATTTCATAACAACATTTTGTCTTCCCGAAGTCTTTCTTGTATAGCCCCTAGTGGTAGGTAGAGCATAGATAGCCCATTGTGTAGCTTTGTGCTTATTTTCAAAACAAACAAACAAACCTTCTTGCATAAAGAAAGACAGGAAATAAATAAAGTTGAAATTAAGTTGCTGAATGAAATTTCGGAATTTTGAGTACTTTCTCAAACTGATGGAGAATTGCAAAAAAATTAAATGGGGATTTTAAAGAATGTTGATAAAGAATGTGATATATATATATTCTCTTTTTTTAATTCGAAATACGAAAAAAAACCATTAAATTATATATTAGCCTTTTATCACCTAGATGGCAGCATATATTGGTGGTTTAGATAAATCTGGTATTTTAAATCTGAATTGTTTGTTTTTGAATTTTGCGCAAAGCTACACGAGGGCTATCTGCGCTAGCCGTCCCTAATTTAGCAGTGTAAGACTAGAGGGAAGGCAGCTAGTCATCACCACCCACCGCCAACTTTTGAGCTACTCTTTTACCAACGAATAGTGGGATTGACCGTCATATTATAACGCCCCCACGGCTGAAAGGGCGAGCATGTTTGGTGTGAGAGGGATTCGAACCCGCGACCCTCAAATTGCGAGTCGAGTGTCTTAACCACCTTGCCATGCCGGGCCTTTAAATCTGAAAGACATATTTAGGCTTATGCACTACATTAGTTAAACGGCCGGCCAGGTTAGAGACCCAATATATAGACATAGTCATACCAAATTTAAAAATACCAAAGACTGACTCTCACAGTTTTTGTTTGTTTGTTGTTAAGCACAAATCTACATAATGGGCTATTTGTTCTCTGCCTACCGTGTGTTCCAAAGCAGAAAGTACGAAATGTGTTCACTTCTGTATATTGTGGCTTGAACCTTGGATCTTTAATGTACTAAACCAATAAACCACAAAACTAGCCTTTCTTATTCCAGGGTACCATATGCAGACCGGCTGTAAATTACTCAGTAACTTACTTTATATCAAGATATTTAAGTTTGAATTTAAACTCATTTTGAAAACAAAAAGCATTAAAAAGAACGTTTGTTTGTTATTAATCTCTAAACTATACGCCTATCTGTGCTCTGCTCATCGCGGGTATCAAAACCCGATATTTTCTCTTTTAGCTCCCAGACTTATCGTTGAAGCACCAGGAGACTCAAAACAATCTACTTTAATGTTCATAGTTTATTTTAATGATTAAGCACTAGAATTATATACGAAAACACTTTGGTTTGATGTTGTTATTAACCACAAAAGTACACAAAGGGTGCTCTTCCCACTACAGGTATCGAAACCCGGTTCCTAGTAGTATAAGTCAGTAGACATACTGCTGTGCCACTGGGTGTGGGGGTTTGGTTTGAAACCCAATAATTTTCATTTTTGTTAAGAATGTTTCAAAAAATTATTTTAACCCAAAATATTGAAGAAAAGAAATCTCGCATATCGCCGGAAGGATCAGTATTGTTTTACATAAACATGTTGTTTTTCCCGTAGTTTTTCTTGTGAAATTAATTAGTTTAATTAATTTAACAGAAACTAAACAATTTAACAGTTTCTGTGAAGTTATTAAACATTACTACTTAACTCCAGGGCTTTAGAAGGTAGACATTTATTACAGACTCGTGGTGGGCAGAGCACAGATAACCTATTGTACAGCTTTGTGTTTAATTTAAAACAAACTAATCACTGTGTTAAACCTTCCCATGTTTATTAGTGAAATTGTATTACATTCAAGTTTTTCCTATTAAATTCCCTCCTGTGTTCATACAATTTCTAACTGATTCTTATACATATTTCTTTAATTCATTATCATCATTATAAATGAGTTCACTGTTTAATGTTTTGGGCCACACATTTTCGCTACCAATAAAGATCCAACATCACACAATTAATGTTTCTTACCTTATCAACTCATCACTTACAGTTGAAGTTTAATATTTATCATCCCAGTTTTAATGAAGTATGAAACCGACTGTTGCGTCATTAATTGATTATTTTTATTACACTAATAATATTGGTATGTTTCATACATATAAAATTAAAACATTATTTCTAGGAGGACTTCTATGTATTTTTATAATTTTGATGCGTGTATATCTAATAACAACAGTTCTTTAACAAAACGTTTAATAGCGTGTCTATTTGTAATCATTTTTAACTTTAAGTTTGGAGTACATTAATAGCACAAAAAATGAGGGGAGCAGATCGCAAGTAGTTCATTGTTTAGTTTTGTACTTAACAACAAACAAACAGTTTATTTGATAACACGTGACAATTATAGCCTGGATTCGTTCTTGTGTGAAGAAAGTTTCTGAAGCACATTATTGTAGAAGTTCTAAGTACGAATTATCAACTTCTTTAAATACATATTTAATTTTCAAATGTCCCTACTTTACTTTTTACCACTTGTAAGTGAATATATTTTTCCTCACTAAAATGTTCTGTGTCAGAATAACTTAGAAAACCTTTTTCAATTTATATAAAAAAAAAGGACTACATTTTTTTTATTCAAGAAAAGTACTAGAAACCATAACATGGATATATGAATTAAGGATCAAAATCACACTGTATACCCTTGGCTTCGTTACAACTTAAAAA